GCACAGGCACCAGGGACACTGGAGCAGCGCATGCTCATGAACAGGAAACCCCTCCACAGCCTTTCTCTGCATGGCTCAGTCCCCTCGGCCAGCGTTCCTAGGAGTTTTACGGTCATTTTTTCAAGCCCGTTGGCCCCATTGACAGGAAGCGGGGGAGTTTTGGGCCCCTGCCTTGGACCCCAGCATTCCCAAGGCTGTGCTCCCGGCCACACGGGAGGCTTTCCCCCTGTGTTTGAATCGGCTATGAGGTGCTCTAGGGCACTGGGTGTGTTTGGAATCAGAGGCACCTAGCAGCCAAAAGCACTGCTGCCCGCAGTCATGGGCCCGGTCGTGGGGAAAACTTTTTTCCACCAGTTTCAAAACTTTGCTCTGAGTCTTGTTAAGTTGTGTAGCTTTTTATTTTCAAAGTGACTTTTTGGATTATGGTATTAACCATACATACTTTAGATGGTTTTAGGCAAGTTTGCATAAATGAACTGAAAACTGTACCCCAGTGATGATGTATGTTAAGGATTAAAGTGTTGCTCTTGGTTTTATGTCACGCTTCCTGTTGTCAGCACTGGTACCGCTTGGAAAGAAGCCTCAGTGGCTGGGCCTGGTGCGGCATCGCCTCGCCCTGCCCCGTCAGCCTCGTGCCGGAGCCTGTCTGGGCCCCGGGACTCGGGGCACTGCGCAGAGCGCCTCAGACCAGCCCCAGGCCGTCCCCCGACCCTGGTGCCATATCATTTCAGACTTCTTGCTTTTATAATTTCAAAAAGACTTTAAAAAGAGGTTAAAGTAGCCTTTTTCCAAAGACTTATTTTTAAAAGTCAGATCTTTTTTTTTTTTTTTTTTTAAAAGCTCCCATCACAGTATTTGGGAACACGGCACGGACTTCCGTGTGCTGAGGTGAGTGGGGATTTTTTCCCTGCCTTTCTTGAGAGTCATTCACAGTCACTCACGACTCCGTTTTTTGGTTTGTTTTGTTTTTTGCATTTTTGACTTGGAAGACCCTGACCAGAGATGAGATTTAATGTCTGTTTCCTTTTACTTGCTAACCTTGTGGCCAGTAGAGCTCTGTGGGAACACCACGTTCAGGCCCCTTTAGTTATGTGAGAGCCTTTTCCTCCTCAAGGTAAGTGAATTGTTGATTGCAGAAACTGTCGTGAACCCGAATGATGTGTTTACTGTGGGCGCGTGTGCAATAATCTTTCACGGTTGTTTTCAGAGAGTCAGTGTGCACCTGGGCACTGCACCGGGGCCGCAGCCTTTGGCGTTAGGGAAGCACACGCAGTGTGGCCTGAGCCCACGGGCCCATGCTGCGTGCAGACAGCACGGGCGATGCGTTATTTCCTTAACTGCATTAGTGTTTGGTGGACTTCACATTTATAGTAAGTTTTATAATAGATTTTATAATCTTCAGTTTTCAAAAATCACTTTATTTATAATTTTTTCAGGAGATAAATCTCCCCCTAAACTTGAACCATCAGATGCATTACCTCTTCCTTCAAACTCGGAGACTAATTCAGAACCACCAACCCTCAAACCAGTAGAACTCAACCCAGAGCAGAGTAAACTTTTCAAAAGAGTCACATTTGATAATGAATCACATAGCACTTGCACTCAGAGCGCACTGGTAAGCGGACGCCCTCCAGAGCCCACCCGCGCCAGTAGTGGCGATGTGCCGGCGGCGGCGGCCTCCGCGGTGGCGGAGCCAGCAAGCGATGTAAACAGACGCACTTCTGTTCTCTTCTGCAAATCGAAAAGTGTAAGCCCCCCAAAGTCTGCCAAGAACACTGAAACCCAGCCAACTTCTCCTCAGCTAGGGACCAAAACCTTTTTGTCTGTAGTCCTTCCGAGGTTGGAGACTCTTCTGCAGCCAAGGAAAAGGTCGCGGAGCACATGTGGAGACTCCGAGGTGGAGGAGGAGTCCCCGGGAAAGCGCCTGGACGCAGGTAAATGCCGTGGGCGGCCCTGAGAGGCCCCTTGCCGACCGGTGCCGGGAGCACCCGTCCTCCAGGATCCTTGGTGTGACGAGGGGGTTGCTGAGCTTGTTTTTGCAGCGTTCTCTTTATTTCCAGAGAAGACAACAGTGCAGTTTTTTTTCTTTCAGAAGCCTTGAATTGCGGGTCTGAGGCCAGCGCCCTCATGGGGGGCCTGTTTGCCATGAGAGGTTGTGCAGTGTTGCTGGGCTGCCCTGGGTTGGGGGTCCATGTCCTAGGTCCTCTCTTCTGCCACGAACTTCCTCTTTTTTTTTTTTTTTTTTTTTTTAAAAGAGACAGGGTCTTGCCCTGTCACCCAGGCTGAAGTGAGTGGCTCACTGCAGCCTCCAACTCCTGGGCTCAAGTGATCCTTCTGCCTCAACCTCCTGTGTAGCAGGGACTGCAGGTGTACACCACCATGCCTGGCTAATTTTAAAAGTTTTGGTAGAGATGGGGGTCTCCTTATGTTGTCCCGGCTGGCTTTGAACTCATCACCTGTGACTCCCAAAGTGTTGGGATTAGATGCGTGAGCCACTGCACCTGGCCCCTTCTGATATTTAAAAAAATAGAGGGAATGACTTCAGGTGTAGTTTTAGTTGGTCATCTTGGCTTTGCTGTGCACATCTGGGTAAGCTGGTGAGTGTCTGCTCCCGGCACATGTGGGAGCTCCACTCTGCAGCCCTCACTCAGGTCCTGCTGCCCCGCAGACCTCGGACCTCGGGGTTGACCCTGGCCCTTCCCTGGGCCTCTGAGAGGATCGGCGCTCATGGTAAATGCAGCACTTTGCATTTGATGTGCAGCCCTGCTGGCCGCACATGGATGCGGCGTTAGGGCCTCCGACAGAGCGTGCGGGGCTTCTCATCTCTTGCTTTTGTAACCGCACTCTGTGGAATGACTCGGCGAGGGCGTTCCCGCATGTGTGCTGTGCCCCTCAGAGGAAGCCGAGGAGGGTTTCATGTCCTTGAAAGAGGAGTGACTGTCTTGGGTTTGCTGGTTGAGAACTGGCTGTGCTCTGGGAGGTGCCAGGGCAGCTCGCCATTGTCGCCTTTCCGGAAGCGTGTTTGGAGCCTGTCTGTCCTTGTGGTTTTTGTCCCGACTCAAGGTTCGGTTCCCGTGCGAAACACATAAGGAGAAGCACGTTTTCTTTTGGCGGTGCTGGTGTGCGGTGGTTTCTCATGCACTTTGGCGGTGAGAGTGTGGGGCAGGCGGCGAGTGACCCTGTGTGGTGGAGGCTTGTGGGCCAGGCCCAAAAGGGAAGGCTGTGGTGGGCGAGGCCCGCCAGGCCCCTCCCTCCTCCTCCCTCCTCTGCCAGGCCCCTCCCTCCTCCTCCCCCCTCTGCCAGGCCCCTGCCTCCTCCTCCCTCTGCCAGGCCCCTCCCTCCTCCTCCTCCCTCTGCCGGGCCCCTTCCTCACCCCTCCTCCCTCCGCCGGGCCCCTCCCTCCCTCCGCCTCCCTCCGCCGGTCCCCTCCCTCGTCTCTCCACCGGGCCTCCCCTTCCTCCCTCCCTCCCTCCCTCCCTTCTCCCTCCGCCAGGCCCCTCCCTCACTACGCCTCCTTCCGCCAGGCCCCCTCCTCCCTCCGCCAGGCCACTCCCTCCCTCCTTCTCCCTCCCTCCTCCTCCCTTCCCTCCTCCTCCCTCCCTTCTCCTCCCTCCCCTCCTCCTCCCTCCCTTGTCCTCCCTCGCTCCTCCTCCCTCGCTCCTCCTCTCTACTCCTTCCTCCTCTCCTCCTCCCTCACTCCTCCTCCTTCCACCAGGCCCCTCCCTCTCCCCCCTCCCCCTTCTCCTGCCTCTTCCCTCCTCTTCCTCCCTCCCTCCTCCTTCCTCCCTCCCTCCTCCTTCCTCCCTCTGTCCTCCTCCCTCCGTCAGGCCCCTCCCTCATTCCTCTTTCTGCCAGGCCCCTCCCTCCCTCCTCCTTTCTCTGCCGGGCTCCTCCCTCCCTCCTCCTCCCTCCCTCCTCCTCCCTCCCTCCTCCTCCCTCCCTCCTCCTCCCTCCTTCCTCTTCCCTCCTTCCTCCTCCCTCCTTCTCCCTCCTCCTCCTCCCTCTTCCTCCCTCCGCCGGGCCCCTCCCTCCCTCCTCCCTCCGCCGGGCCCCTCCCTCCTCCCTCCGCTGGGCCCCTCCCTCCCTTCTCCCTCTCCCCTCCTCCCTCTCTCCCTCCTCCTCCCTCCTCCTTCCTCCCTCCTTCCTCCCTCCTCCTCCCTCTTCCTCCCTCTGCAGGGCCCCTCCCTCCCTCCTTCCTCTGCCAGGCCCCTCCCTCCTCCTCCCTCCCTCCTCCTCTCTCCCTCCTCCTCTCTCCCTCCTCCTCTGTCCCTCCTCCCTCCACCGGGCCCCTCCCTCCCTCCTCCCTCCCTCCTCCCTCCCTCCTCCCTCCCTCCTCCCTCCGCCAGGCCAGTCCCTCACTCCTCCTCCCTCTGCCAGGCCACCCTCTCACTCGGCGTCCCTGCTTGCTCTGCAGTTCTCTTGCCTGCAGTGTATGTCAGGGAGAAGACCAGAGACCACGCGCTTCCATCCCTTGCCAGCAAGCAGGTGCGCTGGCACAGGGTACTAGAGGGTGGTTGGGTGCAGTCACGGGTATCCCCTCCACGCAGAACTTGGGGCTCAGCCGACACTCCACTTCCTCGGGCTTTCACGTCTTGGCGGCAGAGGTGTGGGGCTCTGTGCATAGAGGCCCCATCGGTCGTGGTGTTGGGTGCTGGGGTTCAAGGCGGCCTCCCCTCCTCAGGAGGCTGTGTAGTGGCTTCCACCAGGCGGCCCCACCTGACTGGGCCCTGCCTGAGCCGTGGGCTCCCAGCGTGGACGGTTTTGCTGCCTGGCAGCCACGTCCTCAGCAGCCTTTCAGTCTTGCTCATGAGATGTCTTTTGTAGAAGACTATGTGTGCCGTCTGTGCCACTGTCCCACATTGGAGCAGAGTGCTTTGCCGTTTCCTGTGGTGACAGTGGGCATAGAGCAGACCTTCCCTGAGCATGGCCCATGTGGATTTTGACAACCATGGAGCCCTCTGATCTGGACTGAAGTGGAGAGTTCGCTCTCATTCCCGAGTGGCAGAGGATTTCTGTGGAGGCTGGTGAGTTCCTGAGCTCTCTCCCGAGTAGCCAGGAGCCTCAGCAGCGTTAAGATGAGGCCCTCGGGAACATGAGGTGTTCCACTGCTGCGGCTGAGGTATCTGGGGAGGGCTGGGCGTGCTCTGAATGGTGCCAGTCCCACCATCCGTCCTCTCTTGGGCTTCACCGGAGGCTTCTGGTGCTCTGCATGTAGGGGATTTCTTGCTCCGTGCTGCAGTTCTTCACAGTATTAGGACAGAAATTATTTGGAACCTTCTGATGTTTTCCAAACGTTCATCTGTGTGCTCTGAACTTCACGGAGTGCTCTGACATTTCTCCAGCACTGCACGATTCCGTTAGGCTGAACAGTGTCACTGGTCCTGAGGCGACGCACTTGCTGGGGGCCGCCTGCCGGTTGTGCTGTGTGCCAGGCCTCTGCTCCCACGATGGCCCAGCCCCAGAGGCTGGCCCTGGCTGGTGGCTTCCTTCCTCCGCGACTGTGCGCTCACCAGCCGAGAACCTTCCAGCCTGAAGCAGTTTGCTGCTCGCCGCTGTTCCCTGCCTCGAGTCTCCTTGTGCACGTGCCGGGGCGTGAGAGCGCAAGGGTGTTTTTGGTGTCCTTCGGCTGTTCAGGGAGGAGGCTGAGCTGTTCTGCCCTTTCATTCAGACTAAATGGCTTTTTCACTGTTTTCCAGGTTCTCACTTTAACCACTAATGTGCTGGGTAGTTCACTCTTTGGATCCTAATCATTTTCTCTTACCTCAACTTGGACTGGAGTTCTGCTAAGCGGCCGTTTTGGAATGCACAAAGATCACTGCATCTTGCCTTTCACTTAATTCTTGTGGATCACATTGGAATCATCAGTTCAAACATCCTCTAAACAAAAACACAAACAGCAGCCCTTGGAGAAGCTCCCTGCCCCCACCCAGCCCACCCCTCTGTAAGTCAGAGCCCGGCAGTGGGAATGGTGCTGGCGCCTGGTGCACGCCTGGAGCCGGCGGGATGTCACAGCGCCTCAGCCTTCCCTCTGGACAGTCACGAAGGACGCAGAGGAGAGCCCGCCGCAGCTGACGACGCAGTTGGACAGCGTTCCAGGCCCGTCCTGAGCATGTGCGGAGCTGTCCCGTAGTGACCGGTGGTGCGGGTGTCCCGGCCGTGCCCACGCGCGTTGTGCTGTGTCGGTGCTGTGGGGTGTGGAGGAACTTGGCTCGGCGCCGTCTGAGTGTGTGGCATGAGCAGCGTGTGCTCACTCACTGGCTCGCGTCTTCTGTATTTCTGCGTCTTCTCTCCCCTTCCCTTTTTTCTGTCTTCTCCCCACAATCCCCAGTGGATTCTTGAGCAGCGCCGACGTTCGTCTCGTGCGGGTCACCATGTTGAGTGCTCCTGTGGCCGCCACCTGAGAAGTCCTGCTCGCGGGGTGGGGCATCCGCAGCTGGGATCTTGTGCTGGCATCCAGCCTGGGCCTCGGGTCTGTCTGTGACTGTCCCCAGCCGCATTGTCACGGAGTTGGTCCCAGCAAGAACAGGTGGAGGTGGAATCTTCTTCAGTGTGCGTTTTTATTGAGAGGTTGAAAAACGCTCTTTTATTGATAGTAAAAGTGAACTGAAAGCTGAAGATGATGGGCTCTCCACCTCTGGGGCAGCGCGGATGCTGGAGCCTTTGACTGCACGGGGCCCTCAGGGCTCTGGTCTTCAGGGTGCAGGCTCAGCGCACCTGCTTCACACGGCCAAGCTTCCCATGAACCGGAGAAGCTGAGGCGGCAGCGTGGGTGCTGGTGGCAGGGGCGGGCAGGGCCTGGCAGGGGCGGGCTTGTGTCCTGTGCCACATGAATGTGTTCCCATGGGTCCCTGCCCTCAGCCGTCTCGGCAGCCACTCATCGGGGTCCGCGTTCTTGCACCTGTGGCTCAGAGGATTTGTGGTGTCCACGTGGGTTTGAGGGCTGGAGGCCCGAGCCCAGAGGGGACTGCCACCCACCAGTCGGACCTGCAGGCCTCCACCACCCCAGCTGGACCCCAGGGCTTCTTTTCTCTCTAGGGAGGGGCGTGTCCCGGCTGCTATTGTTTGCAGTCTCTCAGAAGATCCTTTGGGGACCTCCCGGGACAGTTGAGGTGTGCCGTGGACGCACCTGGTGACAGGCAGGCTTCCACAGACCACGCGTGGCTGAGCTGTGGTACACCTTTGCGCCATCTCCTTTTGGGGTAGAGAGGGACATTTCTGTGTTTGTTTCTTTGGGCTCCTAGGAGGTCACTGGGAAGGCCCCTCGGGTGGGGCGGACCCTGGCTGCCGTGGGAATTCCGTGCACCTCCCGTGTTGGGGCAGTGGCTCTTTCCTGGCACCCGCCGCCTCTTTTAATGTGTTTATCACAGCCAGCAGCTTTACATTCAGCACTAAAAAAATACCTCCTTCTGCTGAAATAGTTGCTGAAAGTTGCTGCTTGCTATGTATGTGATTTAGAGGCTTGGGGCCGGCGTGAGTGCCTGCTGTTTCCAGTTGCCTCATGGACCGGGCACCCATCTCTGCAGACCTCAGGTCCCGGGCTCCTCACGTTGGGCCCCACCTCAAGGCTAGCCTGGGCTTCAGAATGTTCCGGGCTGAGGTCCTTGCAGGGGTGCCGAGGGTGCAGGTCATGGTGGTCATCTCCCAGCTGGCAGGAAGACCCTCACAGGGTGGGAGCTGGCAGGGCTGAGATGGAGAGATGTCAGAACCATGGCTGTCATAGATTATTTTCTGGTGGCCCAGGTGGAGACAGGGAGGGTCTGGGCCGCACAGGCCACCTCACAGCTCCCCCGAGGCTCTGGGGACTCCAGGTGGCGGCTGCAGAGTGTCCTGGGCTGTGTCTGTGGCCTGGTCTGGCTTCTTGGGTGACTGTACTGCCACAGCCCCTGGACTGCCTGTCAGCAGGCTCTGTGGCCACCCTGCTGTCCTGCCCCCACAGGCCTTCCACTGGGCGGCGTCTCAGTTGGGCTGGGTTTGTCTGTGCTGCCCACATCTTCCTGGGCACTGTCACGTATTCACGGTAACACGCGGAACCTATGTGTGCACCTAGCTTGCCCCCTGGTTATCACCTGTGCACCCACTGAATGTTTAGGAAACTCGTGGAGGGGGGAATGTTCTGTCATTCTCTCCTTTCTGAGAATTGAGGCCTTGCCTTGTACTCTAATCCCCTGCCTGGCCCCACTCCATGCCATTAAGGCTGGTGAGTGGCCCCTGCATGGCTTGGCTGTGTTGGGGCCTTGGATGTTGGCACAGCTGCGGGTGCTCCTGGAGCTGGGGCCCTCAGGCTGGCATCACCAGGTGCTCTTGTGAAGGCCGCCCACACGGGTCGTCGTCTTCCCCCAGGTGGCCACCGCTCGGCCCCTGGGCCTGGCACAAGTGTGGAGACTGACCAGTCACTCTGCTAAAAGCCTCCCCCCCCAGGCCCTGACCTGCATCTGCACAGCCTGGAGCAGGCCCACCCAGCACCTGGAGTCTGGAGTGCGCTGTGGCCCTGGCTGTGGGGTGTGGGTCGCCAGGCTGGTGGCTGCTCTCTGGAGACGGCCCACACCCATTGGCAGACCCCTCCCTGGGCCTGTGCGGCTGAATGTTGGCAGGGGCACTGGGCTCCGCCTGTCCGCTACTGGTGCGAGCTGGGTGGAGTCCCTGAGACACCTTCAGGGCCTGAGTGTGCAGGGTCTGAGCCCGCTCAGTGTTGAGTGTGGGCAGGATGTGGAGCCCCAGGGGCAGCTCAGCGTGTGGTTCAAGGCCTTCTCCTGTAGGTTCTTACATTTGTTGCCTTGCCAGAAATGAGTATGACACCCCCCACTGGCCTTAAAATGACCGAGGTTAAAATGAGAAACAGAGCTTCCCTTGGAGCTCATGGTACGTTCCTGTCCAGCAGAGATGGAGCCGGTGTCTGACCTGAGTCTGTGGGGGGCAGCAGGGCGCTTTCCATTCTGGGTTATCAATCAAGGTTGATTTGGCCCCTCTTTGTAAAAGTCACACTCCTTGAGAGAAGACGGGAAGGGTGTGAAGTAGGTGGAAACCCTGCAGTGCAGCCGTTCCTTTCACACTGGTCTCCCAGCCACTCGGGAGGCCGAGGCAGGAGGATCACTTGAGGCAGGAGGCCGAGGCTGCACTCCGTCCCGGGTGACAGCAAGATGTGGTTTCCAAAAAAAATTCTAAAGAAATGCTGTTTATAAATTTACACGTTTTCCTTTGTAAATAGATTTAAAAAATGTTCAAGGATGAGGTAGGTAGGAAAATGGGGTTCTTTTTGGATAAAAAAAATTCACACACCCCTTCAGCCTCACACCCAGAGGGCGCCCTGGCCGGGACATCCTCCCCCCATTGTGACTCCCATGGGGGACTTGGTGGAGGGGCCTCAGGCAGATGTGTTGCTTCCCGTTGACTGACATGAAGTCAGGCGTTTTTAGGAGGAAAACGTTGGGATTTGCCTTGATGAAACACGTCTCAATCATTGAGAGGAAGGAGTTGTGCATCGTGTTTTGTTTCGCTGTTCAGGACACTTGGAGGCCAGTGACTTGCAGCCTTGTGTGGGTGAGGCCGGACACCGCTCAGACTCGGGACGACCCCGGATTTTCTGTCTTGGAGCGTTCCATCGGCATTTTTGAGTTCATGTTGATACTTGTCTTTTGAACCAAGAGTTTTTTTCTTTTTAAAACCTGATTTTCTATTCTCTGGAGCTCTGCTGCTGGGAACAGTTTTTTGTGTCATTGCTGGCCCCCGGCCTGGTGAAGGGGCCCTCCGATGCAACATGTGCCCGTGTGGACAGACGGCACGTGTGTTCCCGGGCACAGGCTCTCGGCATGCTTTCTTTGCCCTCACAGCCCGTAGAGAGCCGAGCTTGTCAAGAGGAGCATCTTCACGGTGCCTCACAAACTGCTGTGATGGGAACTGACGGCAGCTGGCTCCGTTCATTTCATGTAATGGGTGACTTTGGAGTTTACTTAGTAAGGACTGTAGTCGGGGACTTGGGAGTGAAAAGGCGGATGCTTCTTACCTTCTGTGGAGCATTCTTTGTAAGGTGTGCTCAAGTGTAGTGGAGCTGAGTCATGCTTGAGCATGCGCTGGCTGCGCCGAGCTCAGGGCCCGCCTGCCTGTGTTCCAGGTCTCACCAACGGCTTTGGGGGTGCGAGGAGCGAGCAGGAGCCGGGCGGCGGCCTGGGGAGGAAAGCCGCACCCCGACGACGCTGCGCCTCTGAGTCCAGCATCTCCTCCAGCAACAGCCCGCTCTGCGACTCGAGGTGGGCACCGCGGCCCCTCGCTTGCCACCACGCAGCCCCCAGCGCTGCCCGCCCCGCCTGGCTGTCCTGGAAACCCGGACACTCCGCCTCCCATCTTAGTGCCCTCTGAAACATCGTGTCCTGGGATTCATGTGTGTTCGGGCCTTGTGGGCAGTTTCCCATGCTGCACATCAATCTGCTTTATAGAATTCAAGCAGAAGTAGGAAAAGCACTACGTGAAATACAAACACAATTTTAGAATTTGCAGTTCAGTTTACATTTGATCTTTTCCTCCCAGAATCTGGCAGTGGGCACAGTGCCACCTGTCTGCCCTGTTTGGCACCTGGGTGAGGCATGGCCCCCTGAGCCCTCCCTGCCACACAGGCACATGCCCTCCAGACCTGCGCACCCGGGGGCCTGCCTGGCAGGACTTGTGGTCAGCTTGGTGGTGGGCAGCCCGAGTGAGGCTGAAGCCAGGGGCATGGGGGCCACCTGACTCCCTCTGCTCTTCCTTCTGAAGCTTTAGTGTGCCCAAGTGTGGGCGGGGCAAGCCGGCCCTTGTGCGAAGGCACACGCTGGAGGACCGCAGTGAGCTGATCTCCTGCATTGAGAACGGGAACTACGCCAAGGCGGCCAGGATCGCAGCCGGTGAGTCCCCCAGACTTGGCTGCTCGCTCTCCGTCCTCCCGGTTAGCGTCTTAGCGCTCGCTTGCTGGGAGCTGCACTCTGGCTCAGGGAGCACGGTGCCCTGCACAGAACCCCTGGCGACTGCCCACTGCGGGCCGACTTCCCAGGCAGGGTTCGGCACACAGAGGGGTGTGGGCCGCAGCCCTGCTGGGGCATCTATGGTGCCTACTCCGTCCTGCTTTTGCTCCTGTGGAGCGCCCAGCTCTGTGTGGCTCCTGGTCTCCAGGCACCGCAGAGGCTGTCTGGGCTTCACTGGTGATCTGCAGCTGCACAGGGGACTGCAGGGTGGGGGAGGGGAGGCCCAGGGTTTGGGGCCGGCACGGCCATCGTTGTGGAAGGCAGCCACGCTGTCAGAACCCTCCAGGTGGGAGGGACAGCAGGGAGCTGGTCTGGTGGAGGGGGAGCCAGGACTTTGGATTTGGATTTGGGGTGCCAGTTGCCTAGATGAGGCAGGAGCACGCTGGGAGTCCCATCCGTGAGGCAAGGAGGGCTCAGAAGGGGCCGTGCTGGGCACCTGGAGTCAGCCTTCCAGCCCACAGGGCGTGAGATTTTCTGGGTCTGTGAGAGGCTGGTGGTGGGCCCCAGGTGGGCTGCAGGGACAGTGGGGATGCACGGGCCTGGACCCCGCTGGGAGAGGCAGTGGGGCCACCTGGGGTGGTGAGAAAGGCCTGGGAGCTGCGCTCTGCTGGGTGACCCCACCTTGTTGCTGCACCTTGTGGGTGGGGGTGGGGCACACCCCTGTCCTGACCTGGCACGTCTCTCTGCAGAAGTTGGTCAGAACAGCATGTGGATCTCCACGGACGCCGCCGCCTCCGTGCTGGAGCCCCTGAAGGTGGTGTGGGCCAAGTGCAGCGGGTACCCCTCCTACCCGGCACTGGTGAGTGTGGCTCTCGTGGCTCCCAGGGCCCCGGCACCTGCGTGTCCTGCGGAGGCCCACACAGCTGGGGGCTGGCTGGTCGTCTGTGGGTGTGAGCCTCATAGCGACCACAGCGGGCCCTTCCTGTGCAGATCATTGACCCCAAGATGCCTCGAGTGCCCGGCCACCACAATGGTGTCACCATCCCGGCCCCACCCCTGGACGTGCTGAAGATCGGGGAGCACATGCAGACCAAGTCCGACGAGAAGCTGTTCCTTGTTCTCTTTTTTGATAATAAGAGAAGCTGGTGAGTCTAGAAGCCTTAGACTTCGGGGACCGGCGGGGCGGTGGTGTAGGGGCCGTGGGTAGTGTGGAGAAGCTGCAGCCACACGGCTGCTGCATGATCTGAATGTCCCTGTGGCAAGCGGTCTGTCTGCTGGGCCCTGGCACAAAGTCAGAGGTGGGTGCTCTGCTGTGGGCCTGGTGAAGGGCACTGCCCAGCAGCCCTGCTGGGACTGTGGGACAGGCTCTGAGCACAGGGTCTGTCTCTGCCCCGATGGCTTCCTCTCCCTCTCACCGGAGCCCTGCTGGCCCCGGCTCTCCGCACTCCTTACCCGTGTCCACTGTAGTGCTGGGGGTCCCTCCGCTGGGCTTCTAGGCCCCTGTGCTGCAGACATGCTCCTGCCCAGGCCTGGCCTCTGGCCCTGTGCTTAGAGCCTTCCGTCCTGGCATCACCCAGCTCTGTTCAGATGACATCCACCCCATTACAGGAGGCTCCCCCCGTGCCCTGGGCTTTTTTCCCCCCGAGCACCTGGACCCTGATGTGCCGTGCCAGGGTTCAGACCCCAAGACCCCTTTGTGTAGGACACACTGGCAGCCCGAGCCTCTGGGAGGAGCTGTGGCCCCGGCTGTACCCTGTGTGTGTGGCCTGGGCAGGTGCCTCCTGTTTCCCCCTGGACCGGCTGCTCTTGGGACCTGGCACAGGGGCTTGGGGCCACCTGCCTGTGGTGCCTAGAGCAGGACTGGCAGCACGGGCACCCCCTGCCATCTTTCTCTTCCTTGCGCCCACCTCTGCCTCTTAGGCATGTGGCCACTGCTCCTTGTCAGGCTCTGAGCGAGGCCTGCGCCTTGTCCAGCTGAGGCCCCTTCGATGGGTCTTCCCTACCAATGGCCCCTGCTCCAGGCCCACCCTGGCTCTGGGCTTGGTGTGTGTGTCTCTTGTCACTCAGCAGGCACTGGGAAACGTTTTGGAGATGGAGGAGGTGACGGTTTTTATGCCTTACTTAGCTCCCCACCTCCCCAAGCCGGGGAGGGGAGGGTGCACCCCTGGCCTCGGGCCTGTCCCTGCACGGGGCCCAGCTGTCTTGTGGGTGCTGAGCAGGGCCCCTTTGTATCAGAGGGCAGTGAGTTTGTTAGATGATCACGTGGAGCGTGCTGCAGTACCACATGTAAGCAATGGTTTTTCCCATGCTTTTCCTTTTAAAAAGGCAGTGGCTTCCTAAGTCCAAAATGGTTCCCCTTGGTATTGACGAAACTATAGACAAGTTGAAGATGATGGAAGGGAGGAACTCCAGCATCCGGAAGGCCGTGCGCATTGCGTTTGACCGCGCCATGAACCACCTGAGCCGCGTCCACGGGGAGCCGACCAGCGACCTCAGTGACATTGACTGATGGCTGGCCCCCAGCGCGGTCTTCCTTGTCCATAGTGTTGATAAGCTGTACATATTTGTATATTGTTCAAAACTTAACTTATTCTGATTTTTAGTCATAGTTCTTTAATTCTTTTTCCCCAGGGAGGGGGGAGGTTTTCTTTCCAAGTTTTCTAGGAACCATCTCCGTCTGGGTGGGGTGGGCGCGTCCGGGCAGCGCAGTGCGTCTGTCGCACGTCCCCAGGCCGTGCTGCTGGCGTCACTTTCTTTGATATGTAGCTTTTTCTTAAAGACTTTTGAATGTTTAATAATTTTGTAAATCATGCTCTTTACACAGAGTACCACTTATTTAATAAGACGGGATGTAAATTTACAATGACAAATGTGTATTTTAAGAAAGAAAATGACATTATTTTGAATGGTACTTTGTGGAAAGAGGGGAGAATAAAGTTATGCTGTGTACATCACTTGCAGATCACCAAAAACACTCCGCTGCCCGTGACCGCCGGCGGGCGCGTCCCTGCTCCCATCGCCCCCACCCCCTTCATCCTGCCCACCTCAAACCCCGCAGGCGTGCCTCCCAGCGGATTATTTATTGTAGAAAGTGTATTCATTTGCTTTATAATGAAAAAGTACATTTGCAAAGGTATATTGATATGCATTTTTATACAGGCACATAAAAATTCAACTTGGCTTGGGAGCAGACTGCATTGCGTTGTATAAATGACTCTGGCCTGTGTACTTTGATTTTATAACTTGTAATCTTTTGTTTACAATGAGGGGCTTTCTGTAACTTGTTTTAATTTAGAACACTTTGGTAGCAATAGAAACTTTGGATACATTTTTGTATGGTACATGTGATGTATATAGAATTAGTACTTTATTTTTATTTTTAAGAGGTAAAGCATTATGTTAGGGGGGAAAGTAGGGTGGGTTTCCAAATTTGCATTTTTTATATTAAAAATAAAGTCAAGATTTGGACAGTGTGGCCATTTTATTTCTGTAGCACTAGCTGTCTGGGTGAGCCCCCAAGGCCAGGTTGGGGTGCTGGCTGCGAGGGGTGGGGACATGCCTTTATGTTAAAAGTTGTCATGGGATGGCATTTATTACTTTACCTGATCATATTTTTATTCTAAAACTTCAGTGACATAAAAATGTCAAGCCTGCACTGTTTGTAATGTCTCCATAGGAACTGGAAATAGTCTCCCTTTGCTAGTTTGTCCTGCGATGAGCAGGCGCTTCCCATCTGCTGCGGCCAGCCCTGCCTGGCAGGCCCCTCCCACCACCAGTAGCTGGTGGCCCCCAGGCTCACCCACTGCCTGGAAGGGTCCAGGCTGCGGGGCACTTGGGGTTCCCTGAGCAGTGGGGCTGCCGGGAAGCCCAGCTAAGGGTGGGTGCAGTTTTCTCCCCTTCTCTCTTTCTCCCCCACAGCCTGATGGTGCTGTTGCTGACAGGAATCTGCTGTAAGCGGGTCTGAGCAGAAGGAGACGCTGAAGCGTTGAGATTTTTGTTTCTGGCTTACCCTGTGGGGGATTTTCACCCTGTGGGGATCATGTCTTGTTTACGGGAGGGGCTGGGGGTACTGCCTGGGATTGACCGTATAATGCGCAGCTGCATATTAGTTTTTTTTTTTTTTTTTTTTTGGATACAGAGTCTTGCTCTGTTGCCCAAGCTGGAGTGCAATGGCGTGATAGCTCTCTGCAACCTTTGCCTCCCAGGTTCAAGTGATTCTCCTTCCTCACCTCAGGAGTAGCTGGGATGCAGGTGCATGGTTCCAGGCCCGGCTAATTTTTGTGTCTTTAGCAGAGATGGGGCTTTCCTATGTTGCCCAGGCTGGTCCTGAACTCCTGACTTCAAGTGATCCACCTGTCTTGGCCTCGCAAAGTGCTGGAATCTCAGGCTTGAGCCGTTGTACCTGGCCAGCTGCATATTATTAGACATAAAATGCAAAATAAGAGGATGTAAACATAAAAGTGAGAAATAAGACCGGCACCTGCGGGGCGTACCTGGCCTGGAGCGCCCGCTGCTTTCACGGGGTTGGCACGTCCCTCCCCGCCGTCGCTGCTCGCACAGAGGGGTGCGCTGGGCCTACCTTCCACACACTTTCTGGGCTGCTCAGAGGCATCTCGCGAGTTTTCTGGGTGAGTGCCGCCTGCAGGGGTGCTGAGCCGGGGCTCCTCCCGTGCGGGGCGTTTCCAGGCGCCCTCTGAGGGCTTGGCAGGTACGGGTGGGAGAGGGGGTCTCTGGGCTGTCTTGGGGACTGGGCGGGCTCCTGGAAGACCTCCCTGTGTTTGGGCTGAAAGC